GGGGGGTCTACGCACTAGCTTGGTAGGCCGTTGCGTACTGCAAAAATAATGAATTATAGTATAAATGAACGGAATCTAGATTCTATCAGCGCTCTTACTAAGCTGACGGAAGTCCTCGCCCTTTGTCCTCCTCAGCGCGATGCCTCCTCATCACTCACCGCACCAACCCGTGTTGACCTTTCCAAAGTTTTTGACAGTGTGTTTGGGGGCGGTGCTGAGGGGGGCCGGGGGTCGGGGTCTCGTGAGGGGACTCGTACGTAATGAATGAGGATACACGCCCCGCATATGAGCCACGTCCACACTCAGAGTGGGGTGGCGGGGCGGGGTACTGTGGGGTCAGGCAGGGCGGGGTGCGGCGGGGTCAGGCAGGGGCCGATCAGGGTCGTGGGTGCGAAATGCCTCTCCATGCCAATTCGCTGGCGGAGCAGAGCGGGCATGGCCCCGACCGCACATGGAGTGCCGGTGAGATGGCATTCCTTACCCCCCTCTCCCTCCTACCCGCTCGTCCCCAAGGCTGGCCAACCGCCGCCCCCTCTCTCCGTCGGAGCACCAACCCCTTTCTATTTTAAACGCCGCCGTGCCTTTGGCTGCTGGCTGCTGGAGCTTGCACCGCGTTTAAATACCGTGACCGAACCCTCCTTTTCCTTTTTCCACCCACGCCGTGGGGAGTGCCCGCCGCCCCCTGCTACCCCCCGCCCCGCATCCCAACCAACCCCAACGTGGCCGTGCTGCACCTCGGGGCTCGCGGTGCGGCGCGCGGCTGGCGCCAGGGGACTCCCCACCGCCTCCGCCGCCCCCGGCCGCCCCCGCCGCGGCCCAATCCCCGGCACAGCGGGGCCCAGCAGCACTGGCAGCAGCCAGTCGCCGAGCTGCCGCCGGGCCACGCACAGCACCCCAGCAAGGCCGGCCCTCCCCGCGCTGTGCCGCTCGGCCGCGACGCGGCGCCGCGAGCGTGTTCTCGTCGACGGGCACCTCCCCGCGCACCCCCCTCCCCTCCCCTCCGCTCGGCGGTGCACAAACAGTGCGGGTTAGCGGTGGCGCTCGCCGCCATGCGCGTCGTCGCCCCCGTTGTGGTGGATGTGCCTGGTGGATTTCTCTTGGATACTGCCTGCTAGCGGCCCGCGCCGCCCAGGACCACGTCGGCCCGCTCTGCCCCTCAGGGTGAGTGGGCCTGCTCTGCCGTGTAACCCGCCAGGTGCCATCGAGCTCGGACACTCGACACCTCTGCGGACGTCTCGACCCGCGGCAGCGCGGACATAATCCAGTGCGTTCCTCCTAATGCAATAGTGTTTTCAACTTTCCATTTGTCACAGCCGACCTTGTTGTACCCTGGCGCCCTGTCGCCTGCTGTTGCTGTTTCTGCAACGACCGAATTTTCATCCCCCTCCTCTCTCTTTTCCTCGGCTTTTCTCCTTCTTTATTTAACGCGTGGGTAAACTTGCCCACTAGTTCTTTGCTCAGGGCAAATGTCGCCGCTAGGTCGGACATCCCCTTACGCCCGCACCATCCCCTTCGGTCCCGATCACCTCATGTCCGAGACGAACTCCGCTTCTGAGGAGGGTCCCCCTCTTTTTAAATTGGAGATGCCGCTCCCACCCGAGGATCCTGTCGTCGTCCTGACCCGCGCGATGCCCGCCTACTTTGGCTTGTACTAGTACTAGTCAGTCACCCCGCCTCACCCCAGCCCGCGCTCCGCCGTCCAGCCTTTTTCATCAAATCCCTGCCTTTTCCCGCTGAGGAGGAACTCGTGAAAAAGTGATTGACGCG